CCCCAAAACCCCAAAACCCCAAAACCCCAAAACCCCATGATCGCTTTGTGTAAATGAATTTTATTTATTTAAGAAGACATCATGCTAGTGAAAAATAACCATAAGGTGAAATTCAGCTACAAACCGATGAAAGTATTTCTCCATAATTAATCCAATAGCCTCAAAAAGAAGAAAAGTTACATAAATTGCCTTACGAATACAGCCTGATCAAGGTAACCTTAGCAATCAACTTTTAAAATAATTTTTCTAGAGAAGTGCTCATAGCTGGATGAAGAGAAATTCCTCTCTAGGTAGAAAAGCAAGCATCTACAGCCTCTCTGAGCTTCAAAAGCCATTGTCAATAAGTCAGAAGAAGGATTTGTTTAAAAACTATGATCCTAACAGCACCATTGATCCTTCGTATGACATCAGCATAATTGTAGGAACCCTTACAAAAAATTTGCTAATGAGTCAATCCCATTCACCAAGCTTGGTAGAGGAAGAAGTAAGTCCAAGCTTAACGAAATTTATCACAAAAATAGAACCTCTTCACTATGATTTTGGGATCACCAGCAAGTACTACAAGACTCCAAAGAAGGCAACTGAATTGCTTAATACAAGGAATTCGGTCATTCGGCAAAATTTAACCGAAATTGATCAAAGGAGACACGCTGTAAGTTAGACTTTGAACAATTTTTAGAGGACTAATAGCAGAGAGAGGTAGCCAATCCAGACCTGACTTGTATAGAACTTCGTTCAAACCTTCATATTATGTATTTAATGACCAAAAGTTGAAGGACCAAGTCGACAATAATTTAAATATCCTGGATGACGGGTATAAAAGAGGTTGTACATTAGTGTAATTTTATAGCCGAGAAGCTGAGTAAACTTAAAAACACAAAACGTATCCTACTCACTCAGCCAGAAGCTACAGATAAGAAATTATACTCCCGGAAAATTGAGGAGTATCGCAAATAACCTTATTGACAAAGAACATGCTATTGATGTCGTCCAACTATTACGTAGAGGTAATAATTCTTGTGACCGGAAAAGACCGTATAATAATGGAACTCGAAAGTAAGTCTAATCTTCACTCCTTCCTAACCATTTTAGATGAGTTCCAACAACAATGTTACCTTTTGACCCTAAAGTAGGGAAGGGTCCTCAGTCCATTCTCAAGAGAAAAAATCAAAATTCGAGCATAATTAGCGCGCAGAGTTATTACAGATTTGATGAATAATGCAAATTTCAACTTTAAAGCTATCCAAAGGGGTTTTGGGGTTTTGGGGTTTTGGGGTTTTGGGG